AAAAGAAATGCAAATCAAAACAACATTGAGATACCACCTCACTCCAGTTAGAATGACAAAAATCAAGAACTCTAACAACAACAGAATTTTTCCTCTTAACACCACGTAGAACATAGTAATCTCTATCTTTATACAAAGGTACACAAAGTCTCATCTACACAGAGTCTCTACGTAGCACCTAATGCAAAGTGTTCTGAGTCCTGTACCATGCAAAAGTCCAATTATATATATACCATCTTCACTTCTTTTCTATAAAATTAACTGATTAGAAAAGGAAAATAGTAAAAGAGATATTATGGCATTAGAAAAGGAAGATGAGAAGGAGAACAGGACTGGAATAACAGCTTTCCCTCTCTCCTTCCTACTCTCCCTTCCTTCCTTCCTTCCTTCTTTCCTTCCTTCCTTCCCTTTCTTCTTTCTTTCCTTCTTTCTTTCTTTCTTTCTTTCTTTCTTTCTTTCTTTCTTTCTTTCTTTCTTTCTTTCTTTCTTTCTTTCTTGTCTGTCTGTCTCTCATCTTCCTCCTCCCCCCTTCTGTCTGTCGGTCGGCCTGTCTATCTGTCTTTGTTTATATTGGAGATTGATTATAGGCCTCGTACTCTAGCTTTTTTTTTTATTTTACTCAAGAATCATGCTCTATTACTTGAGACACATCTCCACTTCTGGCTTTTGGCAGGTGAATTGGACATAGGACTCTATTTTCTGATTAGTCTGGCTTTTAACCATGATCCTGAACTCTAAACTGTCTGAGTTGCTAGGATCAAGTCTGTGATATACTATCCAGTTCTATCATAATTTTCTATACTCCTTACAGGAAGTTAACAAGATAGGAACACATTTCTCTCATTATTAAGGAGAGTAGAGAAAAAAAGAGACAGAACTAAAGACACTGACAGACACTGACAAATACTCAAAAAAGAACAGAATAGAGTTTAACAAGAAAATAAAGCATAGCATTTTATCCCAAGTTTGTTTATTTACTATTTATTAATAATGAAAGCAGTTTAACTGAATGGACTGTCACTTAAAAAATTAATGTTTAACTTATTGAGATAAATCATTCACTCTAGATCATCTGGGAAAATATGCACTCAGTAAAATCTGATTTGCGCTAACATATAACAGTGTTCATTAATGTTTGAGAATTAGTCAAAGTTTCCTAAGCAGAAACAGCTAAGTTATATATTTTCAATAATAACTTTAGGGCTGGGAAGTTGGCTCAGTGGTAGAGTGCTTGCCTTGCATGCATGAGGCCCTGGGTTCAATTCCTCAGCACCACATAAGCAGAAAAAAAGCCGGAAGTGGCGCTGTGGCTCAAGTATTAGAGCGCTAGCCTTGAGCTGAAGAGCTGAGGGACAGCACCCAGTCATAGAGTTCAGGCCCTATGACCGGACCCCCCCAAAAAAAATAATAATACCTTTAGCCTCATACTGTTTGCTCATGCAAAAATGTTGAAAAAAGTAACTGAAAATGGTTCTCCAACTTAAAAAATATCAAATATTCTATACTGTAGATAATCTTAATATTGCTTAGTCACTGTAAATTGTATTATTCTTGAAATTGTACTTAAGTCAAGGTGAGATGGCCTTCTACTTACAAATGTAATTTAGTGCCGTGATTGCAATCTTGTTAAATATTACTGGAGTAATTGAAATCGATTGTTGTTTACTAAACTTTGTCAATACTGATCAAATTTAGACACTGCATTTACACCTTTGACAGACACTTTTAGTGCTGCATGGAAGGATTTAACCATCTGAGAGTTTAGCAACTTTTTTAGTATTATCTTCAAAGCATAACAAGAGAAAAGGAGGCAAAAGGCTCTTCATTTTCTTTATAATTTTTTTATTTGGATGTATTTGGGAGAGATATGTCTGAGCAAGAGATTTATTTATGGTATTTATTATTTATGATTGATGATAAAAAATAGCACCTTTGTTTTTCCATCTACTTAACTTCATTCTAGGTTTATAATTCTTTACTAGTCACAGAAACACTGAGCACCACAAAATGTATTTTATAGGAGATACAGCAATACCAAACTATTTGAAAAGCAGGTTGAAAATAAAGCCTTATAGCTGCTGTGCCCTGGTCTGGTGGTTTGGCACACTCCAAAAGCTTGCACTGAATGTGGTAGATGTATGTTGGCTCTTTGAGGCTTAGAGCAATATTCTTTCTAATATAAAAATAAGCCCACCACAGTCATTTGCTCTGAGGAAATTTTACAGATGTTGGTAAACCTGCTCCCTTATGCTCTGCAATATTCATTAGCAGATTTTTCTGTTTATGAGTGATAGTATATGGAAACGGTTATGGGAGGCTAACAGATGTAACCACTGAAATAAATTAGAAAGAAAAGTTCTGTTTTTTACAGATGGCTCCATCAAATATGCTTTTTCTTCCCTTCACTTTAACATTTTGTTTTCTTTCAACAGAAAACTTTTCTTTACTGACTACGGGAATGTTGCCAAAGTGGAAAGATGTGACATGGATGGGATGAACAGAACAAGGATAATTGATTCCAAGACAGAGCAGCCAGCTGCACTGGCACTAGACCTAGTCAACAAATTGGTTTACTGGGTAGATCTTTACTTGGACTTTGTGGGTGTTGTGAACTATGAAGGAAAAAATAGACGTACAATCATTCAAGGCAGACATGTAAGTACAATTTTGTTAGACAATATAGCTAAGATAATAAAGTGTAGCATAATACTATGAAGAAGACTAAAGTTTTCTCTATTGTAAATATCTTATGCAGTCAAGCTGCAATGATTTTGAACTATGATATATATATATATATATATAATTTTTATCTGAAAAAGTGTTTGCAGAGTGATATTGTGATATTTCCATCATCCTGGAGATGGCTTTTACTCTGCCTCCTATCTCTATTGAAAACAAACAAAATAACACACATCAAAGCCAAAAAAGAAGCTGTAATACCAAGAAAGAAAAGTATTGGAATAGGGAAGATGTTATGAACTGCTTACTAAAAACTAATTTGAATGGCTTATTCATAGAGAATTTAACTATCTTCTGTCCCTTGTGTATTGAAGATGTTTTGTTAACAAATACAAATGCCTCTTCATGTAAACAACCTGATTATTTAACAGGGTAGAAAAAGTTGTAGGTTTTTATGTATTCAGTGTTCCTAAAGAGAGAATTCTGTGAAAGTTTCCAAGTATACTTTTTCCCCCTCATGTGCTAGGTTTTCCCTTGCTGAAATGTACAATTTTGCAAACAATGATCATTAAACACCTAAGGAAATCTCTACATAGAAATAATCCTTATTAGCCTGGTTCTGGTGGATCACACCTGTAATCCTAGCTACTCAGGAGGCTGAGATCTGAGAATCATGGTTCAAAGCCAGCCAGGGCAGGAAAGGCTATGAGACTTTTATCTCCACCAGAAAACCAGAAGTGGTGCTATGGCTCAAGTGGTAGAGTGCTAGCCTTGAGCTGAAGAGCTGAGGGAGAGTGCTCAGGCCCAGAGTTCAAGCCCCATGACCAACAAAAAAAGAGAGAGAGAGAAATAACCCTTATTCATTAGTGTACTTGTTTCAAATTCTAATGTTGTATGAGTTTTAGACTGTGAAGCTGCAATATGTGAATCTTCTTTGTACCTTTTATGAAACACGGCATATTATCTCTTAAAGATAATATATAATTATCTCTTAAAGAAACTTTAACTTTCCAATCAACTTTAAAAATGATTTTTTTCTTATTTCTCAACAAGCATATACATTCGTCTAAGTGGTTAGAAAGAATAAACAATCCAGTGTTATAAATGAGATCAATTGTTTTCGCTTGCACTCAACTGTCATACAATACAAACAAAATGTTTCCCCTTTTCATTTAATTGCACTAAAATGATTAAACTTTGAATATAACATAAAGAATTCAAATAATTTTGCCACATTTACTTTGAAAAATCTTTTAAGGTTTTTGAAATTTTGAATTATCCTTTGCCTCTTATTGCTACTGCGTGTGTTTTATATGTTCCCTAAACTTATGCAGTTTGCCACTCCATGTTCCAATAGGGATATATTCTTTGAAGGAATTGTGTTGGAGGGAGAATGGTTCATCAACTACTCTATGATCTTACCACTACAGTTAGGGGCAGTTAGCAGGACAGACATCAACATGCTTATTTTATAGAAAAGAGCCTTTTCTAGAAGAAATGCAAGGTTATATTGCCTTCTGCTACATAGCCACATAGATGTGAATTAGCAGTTTTATAGAGGACAATATGATTCTGTCACAATCATAGGTTCCATTGGGAAGGAAGGTCCCACACTTTGGAAAATATGAGTGATAGTAATGGCAAAGAGAAGCACTAAGCAAAATCAGGCTACTAGGTGTTTTTCTAATGTCCCTCTTCCATTGTAAACATACATACTCACCGTTAAATAGTTCATTTACAGAAAAGGAGTCTTTGTGTTTTTCCATGAATGAGGTTCCATGTTAATTTTTATTTTTCCATTAGTAGCATAGACAAAAAGAAACTAGGTACAACCCTAAAGCAACATTCAAAAGACAATCTTTTAGTCACATTTCACACACAAAGACCAGGGAGAGAAAAAATGAGCCACATATGCTAGAAATCTATCATATAAAATGTTTTTTTTTGTTTAAACTATAGAGTTGGCATGCTTTTCTGTTGAAGACTGAAAAATTTGTTCTATAAGTATCTTTATGATCAAGCCACACAGCCTCCTATTCACTTAACTCCAAATGGCAGTATATCAAAGTAACTCTAAAAATAGTGACAAATACTTCTCATTACTATTTCCACAGCATATCAGTTGACAAATTCATTGTACCCTAGACCTGGTCAATTATGAATTAAGTATAAGAATATTGAAAGGTGATAATGGGTGGCAGCTTCCATCTTACCTATTCCGACAGCAGAAATCAGAAGGATCATAATTTGAGACCAAACTAGACCGAAGTCCATAAAGTGCTATCTCAATCATTATGTAGGAATCATATGTAGATGAGTCATTCCAGCCACAAGGGAAGCAGTCAGGTTGATTTGAGCATAAATCTGAGAACCTATTCAAAAAATAATGAAAATTAAAAGGCTAGAGTATGGCTCAAGTGGAAAATCATGAGATTCTGTGTTCAGCTTCCAGTACTGCCCTCCCCAACAAACAAAAATACTAATGAATCTAACATGTACCCCTTCATCAGAAAAAAGTACAATCAATTTTTCCATCATATCCATTACTTCTTTCTCCTCTATTTCCTCATGCATCCACACAGAAATGCACACTTTCTGTGACTTTGTTTTTCCCTTCCCATAGGACCTTTGTCAAAGAGTTTAATTCTACAGAGAAGAATATATATCACTATTCTTAAAGCAGCTGTATTTGCCATTAAGTATAAGCTTTAGAATAGTGTGCTATGATGATCCACACATATAATCCTAGCTATTTGGGAAGCAGAGCTCAGGAAGAAGAGATCAGGAAGATCACTATCCAAGTGTCCTACAGAAAACTATGAGAACTTTAATGTGCTGGGAACAGGACTCAGTGGTAGTATAATCACATAGCAGGAGCCAGGCCCTGAATTTAAATCTTTGTACTGCTACACTACTGCTACACTACTGCTACTAATAGGGATCATAGAGAATAACATGGCTTCTGAGTTTAATTTGCAGTTATGATACATACACATTCATATATATTTATATATTATTTTAATGCTTAAACAAATATTAACCTAAACATAAAGTATAACAAAAATGAATTTTGGGGCTGGGAAGGTGGCTCAGTGATAGAGTGCTTGCCTTGCATGCCTGAGGCCCTGGGTTCGATTCCTTAGCACCACATAAGCAAAAAGAAAAAAGCCGGAAGTGGCGCTGTGGCTCAAGTGGTAGAGCACTAGCCTTGAACTGAAGAGCTGAGGGACAGCGCCCAGGCCCAGAGTTCAGGCCCCACGACCAGATCCCCCCACAAAAAAATGAATTTTGATCTGATCACATTTTCTTTTTCCTTTTTTTTTCTTATTTTTGTTTTTTGTCTGTCGTGGGGCTTGAACTTTGAGCCTGGGCACTATCCCTGTGCTCTTCAGCTCAAGACAAGTGCTCTACCTCCTGAGCCACAGCACCACTCTGGGTTTTTGAGTAGTTTATTGGAGATTAGAGTCTCATGGACTTTTCTGCCTGGGATGGCTTTGAACCATGATCCTCAGATCTCAGCCTCCTCAATAGCTAAGATTACAGGCGTGAGCTACCAGCTCCCAGCTAATGATCTGATGACATTTTCAAAGATGATTTTGCTATCCTTCTACAAGCACACTTTGTCTTTGCAGAGCTTATATATCCATAACTATATGAACAAGTAGCCCATAAAACTTCCCAAATTATATGTAAGATTATTAAATATGCGTAGAATTTTGTTTCTCAGTAGCCTTTGAAAAGTAGCCACAAAAACATGTTTTCTTAATGAAACATCAATAAATTATTTCCCATTCATTTGCAAATATTAAAATACAATGGTATATTATGTTTTCATCTCCAGAGGGAAAAAGACAGTGTTAAATTCTTATGACTTTCTTACCATGATCATTTTCCTTACTAGTAAAGAAGAACCAGTTTTCCCTTCAAGTGTAAAGTAGCATAATTAAACATCATAGTCAATTTAACTTTCTTTATAGGTTAGACATCTTTATGGGATAAGTGTGTTTGAAGATTATTTATACGCAACCAATTCAGATAACTTCAATATCATAAGGATAAACCGTTTTAATGGCACTGATATTCATTCATTAGTTAGAATGGAAAGTGCTCGAGGAATTCGAATCTATCAAAAAAGAATGCAACCAATGGGTAAGCTTTAAGACGTTCTTCATTCCTTCATAATGGCATATTGAATGAGAATATAGTCCTTGTGCTTTTGTGTGGTGGTAGAGTGTATGAGTCATAAATTCTCTGTTTTGAAGGTGAAAATGTGCATGTCTGCTTCATAAAATTGAAGAAAGCTCCTTTCTCAAGTCTGAATGACAAATCATTCAGTTCCTAGTGAGTCATTTCTACAACCATAGAATTGAAATGATGGTTCGATTTAGACTCAGGAAGGATCTTTCATGGTGATGTATGTAGGCAGAAAACGCAAATGCTAAGACTCCTTTTTTTTTTCTTTTGTGGTATCATTTGGGAGACAAATGTCAAATCAAGTGATCTTGTAATCTTTGTGCAGTGTTTATTGCTACTCTGTTCTCCTGATTTAACATCTAAATTACCTTTTAACACATGCTCATTAAAAATAATTTTCCATGATAAGGATGCAGTATTTTTGATTGTTAAAAACACATGGTAATTATTTTATTAGTACATTAATGAAATTTTCAGCAGTCTAATTTAGGTTCAATCATTACATATATATATAAATTTGCATTCATATTTAAAAAAATTAACCCCCTCCAAATTTTAATCATTTCTATATTTATGCTGTGAGTGGAAACTAATCTAGATGTATCTCTAATCAAGAGAATTTATTGTCACAGATAGTTTTACAGTAAATTCAGTCTTGAATTTGTAGTGAATGATATTAAGAGTTTGATACTAGAATTTATCTGTTAATTATTCATGGAAATCTACTATCTGCCAAGACTGTTCTGTACATACTAGGAATAGAGTTGTAAATGAAACAGACAAAATGTTCTTTTGACTTTATGAGGTTTCCACTACAGTGAAGAGAATATTAAATAACTAGGTAAATTCTCTATTATCTTAGAGCACAGTTAGTAATACACAGATAAAATAAATAAGGAATTTAAGGCACTTCAGGATGTGAGAATTCTACTTTTAATTAGAATAGAGGAATTCTTGATAACATGGCATTTGGTTAAGACTTAAAATGACTGAAGAGATTGCCTGGTGATTTCTGAAACAAGAGTGTCTACAGGCATGGGCAAGCACAAAGGCCATGAAGAAAGAGCATGCCTACATTGCAGAAGGAGCAGCAATGCAGCTTGTATGGATGGGATTAAAATGACTAAGGGACAGAGAAGTAGGAGGTGATGTTGGAGAAATAAATCACAATAAGCAGGCTCATAAGCACTATAGAACAGACTTCACTTATCCTTCCAATGAATTGGCCATCTTCAGGAAGCATCAGGCAAAGTTGTTCCATGATCTGGATGATATTTGTAAAGAGTAACTGTGACTGCTGTACTGACAGTATGCTATGGGTAGATAAGAGTGGAAGAGCTAAGAGAATTTTGAATTGTAACAAAGTCATAGTTGCAAAACTAGTAGAAAATATTCAAATTCAAGACATAACTAAAGTTAACATCACAGAATTTTCTAATGGATTTGAGGTGAGGTATAAATTTTAAAAGGATCAAAAATTGCAATAATTTTGTCAGGATTATTAGGAATTGGATTATGTTTGAAACTGGAGAAACTTAATATAGACCAAATTTGATGCAAAGGCTAACCTCAAATTTCATTAGTTATTTCAGATATGTATTATGAATCAAAGCATAGCTTTTCAAATGTTATATGAGTGTGCATGACAATGTTTTCAAAGTCAGTGGGGAAGCCGAATCTGGGTTAACTGATTTCGGATTGATTGCATATGGATGACTTCTACAGTTATGACAATGCCTTGGGACATGAAGGAAGTAAATTCAGATCAAGAAAATAATAGTTCCAAATAATGACACTGGGGTACTGCAATAATGAGTTAAGAAGAATTGGAAGAACCCAAATAAGAAATGAAGAAAGATGTTGTTAAATTCCATTGACAAAATGGAGCCCCTTGGATCTAAGAAATCCAATGCTGATGGTGAAAATATGCTTAGGAAAGACCTGAGACACAGGAAAATTTAGATGAAATAGTCATGTTACTTGGGGGAAGTGTGAATGTGAGATGGAATAGATAATGGAGATCTACCAGAAGGATTGCTGTGGTATTTTGTGTTAAAGGGATTTGTTCCAACATACAGGAATAATACATATACATGCTGATGGCTGTGATCCAACAGCTATGATCCAATGTACATATACCCCATTTTCTTGATCCATTCATTCTTTTTTGTTTATTTGTTTGTCAGTCATGGGGCCTATAAATATGGGCCTGGGCGCTGTCCCTCAACTCTTCAGCCCAAGGCTAGTGCTCTACCACTTGAGCCACAGCACCATTTCCAGTTTGTTCTGTTTATATAGTGCTAAGGAATCAAACCCAAGGCCTCATGCATGCTCTGAGCTACCTTCCCAGCCCCGATCTATTTCTTCTTTTTTTCTATGTTTTTAATTGTAAAAATAGTGTACAGATATTTATTCTTTAAGTGATATCTAGACTGATTTGATTACTTGACTATTTTGAATGATGTTAAATACGGTTGTGCCAGTGGCTCTGCCATATCCTGAAATCTTTTTTTTTTTCTGACTTGTAACCTTTTATATGGCTGGATCAGAAAGTAGTTTTATGTTTAAGTTTTTGGAGAACAGCAACACTGCTTCCAGAGAGATTGAAAAAAAAATCATTCCCACCAACAGTTCATTCGGGTTCCCTTTTGACTGCATCCTTGTCAGCATGTATTGTCAGTTGTCTTGATAATGGCCATTCTAACTGGAGTAAGGTGAAATCTCAATGTTGTTTTGATTGCAAGTCCTTTATGACCAGCAATATTGAACATTTCTTCATGGGTCTATTGACCATTTTTACTTCTGGGAAGATATTCTTTAGCTCATTAGCACATTTATTAATTGAGTTGTTGGGTCTTTTTGAATGTTTACTTATTTTTAAGGTTTAATTTTTTTTTTACTTCTCTATATGTTCTAGATATAAGGCCAATATCTGACATATAGCTGGCAAAAATCTTCTCCCATTTTGAAGACTGTCTTTGTAGCTTGTTGGTTATATCTTTGCCCTGAAAAACCTTTTTAGTTTGATGCAATGCCATTTATCAAGATTTTCTTTGATTTGCTGTGCTTCTAGATCTTTTCTCGGAAAGTTTCTACCTGTTTGCAGGAGCCCTAATGTTTCCCCTTCTCTTTCTTAAAATAGTTTTGTGATTTCAGGTCTTACCTTGAACTCTTAAGTCCATTTTAAATTGTGCAAGGTGATATATAAGGATCTAGTTTCACTTTCCTACATGTAGATATCCAGTAGAATGATTATTAATACCATTTGTAAACAAATACAAAGACTTGGAAAAAATTATATTTAGTGAAGTAAGTCAAGCCCAGAGAGACAAAGATCCAAGTTTTCACTTAAATGTGGAAGCTACATTTAGCTTACAAACCTATAAGTGAATTCCAAGGGTGGTATGTAAATGTATAGAAAAGTATTAAATAAAATATGGTAGATTCAAGGCAGATCTCAAATAGTGTAATTCCTTAAAGAGATAAAGTCAAAGTTCAGCAAAATAAAACACCAGGAAGCGATTGAGTACATTAAAGGGGTGGGATGGGTTCAAGGGGAAGGGGTAGACAAATGAAGAAGAGAAGAGAAAGAAAATATACCCAAGAATCCAATGTATAGCCGACAAAATTAGCAAGAGTGAAGGATAGTACAGTTAGTAGGGGAGGGATGGAGAGAATGCTTAAAAGGGTGACATTGATCACAATGTATTTATAAACTGCTTTTGTTAATTGGCAATTCCTTTTTACAACTATTTAAATATAAAACAAATATTAAAATGATGAAATTGAAGACTTGGAGAATTATTCAGGATATGAGAGGAGTTTCGATTCATCATAAATGAGTTTAGAAAAATGAAAGCAGTACTTTTGGCACATCGTATTCCACTCATTTTTCAGTTAAAGACTGAAGAATAAAAAAAATGTGCAAGATTGGTGGCTAAAAATGTAACGGTTTTATTTAAAAGAATTTTGTCATGATATTTACCATGATTTTAAGCACATGTTCACAAAGAAAAACCCAAATTTGCCATGAACTTACCAACAGATTGCTTTTTATTTATTTAGTTTTTGAACTTTGGACCTGGGCACTGTCCCTCACCTTTGCAGCTCAAGGTTGCATTGGAGCCACAGCACCACTTCCGGTTTTCTGGTGGTTAATTGGAGATAAGCGTGTCAAGGACTTTCCTGTGGTGGGCTGGCTTTGAACCATGATAGTCTGATCTCAGCCTCCTGAGTAGGATTGCAGGAGTGAGCCACCAGCGCCCAGCCAGACTACTCTTTTCTCTTTGATTCTTTTACTTTTTCTCTTCATGCAGTTGTTTTCCAGTTGTTTGTTTTGTTTTGTTCTTTTATTTCATTGTTAACTGTGAATATTCTTTAAACCTATTCCTACTGCTTTATTTCCTCATGGAAAATTTCATCTTCAGACAATTAGGAATACACATACAGACACACAGACACACAGAGAGACACAATCACATACAATAGCAAAATGACCTTAGAATTCTAAATTTAAACCAGGTGCCAGTGGATCATGTCTGTAATCTTAACAATTTAGGAGGCTAAGATCTGAGAATCACCGTGAGAAGCCAACGCAGGCAGGAAAGTTGCAGTGAGACTTTTATCTCCAATTAACCGCTCAAAAATTGAAAGTGGCTCTGTGGCTAAAGCAGTAGAGCACTAGCTAGCCTTGAGTACAAAGAGGCTCAGCAATACTGCCTAGGCCCTGACTTAAAGCCCTAAAACTGACAAAAATAAATAAATAAATACAATTTAAAAATATCTTTCATCATTTTTCAACAAACTACAGGAAATGACTGAATTACATTTTATCCAGTTTGGGAACTCAATGTTACATAGTTAAATACATACCTAAATACATAGTTAAATACATACCTAAATACATAGTTATATACATACCTAAACTGGATTTTCCTATGTAACATTTTATGTATTTTCTTTAATGTAATATGAATTGCCATTTAAATAAATATAAGAAGTAAACACCAAAGATCAAGATGGATTCATTCTGATTGTGTTGAACAGTGTAAATTAATTTATAAACATTTTATTTCACATAACTGTTTTTTTAAGTGTAGTTTTAGGAAGAATTCAGAAAATATCTACCTCTTCCCCATCATTTATTTATTTTTTTTATATTTGGTAATAGTGCTAAATATTTGAACCTATAAATTTTGTCAGGATTCCCTGATTTTACATGGTGAAAATTTTGACAAGCTGATGCACATATTTAGTCTTTGGAGAATTTAAAATGCGCTGTTTTTTTATTTGTTGTAGTCAGAAGCCATGCATGTGAAGCTGATCCATATGGATTGCCAGGGGGATGTTCACACATCTGTCTGCTGGGCAGCAGCTACAAAACACGGACCTGTCGCTGCAGGACTGGCTTCAACCTGGGTAGTGATGGCAGGTCATGCAAAAGTATGTTGATAAAATCAAATGTTTTGCCATCAGCTACAACTTCAGCAGGGCATGTTTTGTATTAATTAGCAGCATGAATGTCAATAATATCATGAGATTTAATCAGGTGAAATTTGTCTGAAAATATGTACAAGACAGTGTTGTTGTTGTTTTATTTTTTAAAAAAATTATTGTCAAAGTGATGTACCGAAGGGTTACAGTTACATAAGTAAGGTAGTGATTACCTTTCCTGTGTAACTTGCTACCCCTTCCCTTATTTTTCTTCCTCTTTCCCTACTTCCCCAACCACCACCCCCCACAAGGTGAACAGATCATTTCCAACATTTTGTCTTGTATCGCTATTGCAGAGGTTTCCCTTTGTCCTTTGTCTCAACATTTTGTTGTTCCCTTTCCCTTCCCTAGTTCAGATAAAAGCATATGCAATACCCAGGGTAGTAAAATCAAATACTATGACAACAGGGTATAAACCAAAGGGGAAAAAATACAAAAGAAAAAAAGAAACCATGTTGTACATTGAGAACAACAACAAAAAAAAACACCTTGTCTTGGAGTTCATTTCACTTAGCATCATCTTATATGGTCATAGGTACATACCTAGTGAGCTACTCTGCACATCTGCTAAGACTATCCTAGATGTATACTAATTATTACAAATAAGGGAAACCATGGGATTTATGTTTCTTTGGGTCTGGCAAGAAACAGATTTTTTGTTACCATTGTTGTTTCCCCTCCCTCAAAATCAGCCTCTTATTTTCTTTCAGAATAATTTGGAAGGGAAATTTATGAGGTTGTAGAGTTACTAAATGTACAGATTTTAGCTGACTGTATTTAAAACAATTGTATTTAGAACAATTTTAGGAATATACTTTTTAAAACTATTTTCTATTTTTTTTATTTTAATGATGCTGTTCATAGGGCTTACAGTTACATGAGTAAGGTAATGAGTACATTCTTATCGAACATTGTTATCCCCTCCTTTGTTTTTTTTCCCCAACTATTCCTTCCCTCCCCTGAAAAAACTTCCTAAATAGAGCTTCAGAATCAATGAATTATACTCATTGATTGACCAGATGTCTCTTCCCTGAATCTTGTTAGAATTATTTAGTTCAACAGAAATTCACAAATACCAAGGCTTCCCTTTATCCAGCATCACTAGGGACTAAAATGTACTTTATAATTCAATATTTCCTAAAATAAAAATAAATAAAACTATGCAAAGTTTTAGAAAATACACATCTGTCAGATGTATAGTTTTGAAATATGACAGTTTATTCATTCTTTATTTAAATAAAAACCTAAATTGTTAAAAAAAAGTTTACAACTTAATATTTGCACCAAAATGAATGCCTTTTCTTGGACCTTCATAATCAAATATAGTAGAATGACATTAGTAAAATGACATCTTTGTGAGCACTGTCAGTCTCTGCCCCCCAAATGCCTTTTTTTTTCAGTTTGGTTCTGGGTCTTGAACTCAAGGCCTTGTCTTCTCACCTGGGTAGCATTCTACCACCCTGGCATTGAGCAACTATCATTTCTTTCTGTTGTTGTTGTTTGCTTGTTTGTTTTGCTTTTCTGTTAGTTTTTGCTGGTTAACCAGATTTGTGTTTTTTGAGCTGTCTTTGAACTGTGATCCTCATATCTTAGCCCCCAGAGTAACTAGTACTAGAGGCATGAGGTTAGCTCCAAATTCCACTTTTTAAAAGGTACTATAATTGGCTCACAGTGTCTAATTTGTCTCTATTTTCTTCATAGCAAAACCTTGTATCTAAACGTTTCCTCTGTTTATCTTCTTAAAACATATACTTATTTCTTACATGTACTTGCTTCTATCTGTAAAATGAGATCTGTAATCTTTAGAGATTCAAGTATAACTAATGAAATTAACATTGCATGAAGAGTTTAGGGCAAGTAGGTAAGATGCTAAACTGTGATAAGACAAATGCATACCAATACTTTGTTTACATTGTGATTGTGACTGTATAATAAACGTTGAGACTATGAAGTTGAGTCCATGTTCCTGTGGCTAACTCAACAATTGGGTACCACATCTGACACCAGAGATAGGAGAACTTGAATTGGGAAATAGGCACTTGGAAAATGACAGCATGTCACATAGAAGTACAGCCATGTACTTGTGTATATATATATATATATATATATATATATATATGCACATGTATTCATCCAGCTATGCTTTGATCTTAGTTGCAAATGATTGAATCATATATTGAGGAATATGCTGTTCAAGGTACATATATTCCTAAAGTCTTTCTAACATATTCCTAACATCATGCCAACAATAAGTCAGCATACAAGGTACATATGTAACATACATAATTGTTTATGACGGAATCATTCTTTGGGTAGTATGCCTTTCAAGGTACACATATAGCACACCAATAATTCTGCATATTTTAAATATAAATGGATTTAAATGTAAATAGGTGCTTACAAAATCATCTAAAACACTGGAGGAGCAGCTTTTCCATTAGTTCTTCTCAAACCACTGTCAAAGTGCCATGCCTAAAGCCTTGCTTTATCCAAGGTTAACAGAATGAACTGTTCCCTTCAAAACCACATTGTTGTAATTGAGATTCATGAATTAGAAAGTGTGTACCACAGTGATTAGCTCTAGAATTGTGAGTCCTACATTGCTGAGGAGAATGATCACTTATCAGAGTCTTCCATTGGTGGTCTCTGAATCTTGATATTCACGTGTGTGCATGAACTGGATGGAGAGAAACATGTAAAAGCTCAGTTGGATTTGATTTGGAAGTTATGAAGTCTCATTTTTTGCAATCTTTTTTTTTTTTGCTTATGTGGTGCTGAGGAATTGAACCCAGGGCCTCAGGCATGCAAGTCAAGCGCTCTACCACTGAGCCACCTCCCCAGCCCTGAAGTCTAATTTTTTAAAGTGTCTTAATTCCATAGTCACAGCTTTTTGCTGTTAGGGAACCTCTCAGGCCATTCTCTTGCCATTCTTACAACTTCTTTTCATGTATTTGCTGAGAACAGTGAAATGAAATACTAACATTATAATTTTGCCCTATGATTTTACCAAAACAATATGTGAAATACCAGAATGAAAATAATCTATCTAAATATTAACTTAGTGATAAAATACAAAGGAAATTGCATAATGTCTTGGTAAATCAATAGGGATTAGAAACATAGCATCAGAAGCTATAAAAAGAAGACCTTTGTTTTGGTTTTTAGTTGTAAAATGGAGTGAGTAAATGTTATTTTAGCTAACTTAAAACCAGAAACTTGGCTATGAGACTTTCCATGAAATATAGTTTTATTGTATTCAGAACAAGATAGACATATTGGAAGAACCATTCAAGATTGTATGTGATGTTACCCGTTTCCTTGTTTTCCCACTATCCCTTCCCTCCCCCACCTCACTCACTTCCCCCACCCCCCAATCTGAAGTTGTAAAGTTCATTTCTAATATACTGTCTTGTGGGTGTCATTGTTGCAATGGACCATTCCGTGTCCATGTTTTAGTATTTTGTTATTCCCCTTCCCCTCCCCAAATTAGACAAATGTATATACAAGATGCAGGGTACCAAAATCAAGTACAGTGACAACAGGAGATATACCATAATGGGAAGAAGAAACAAAGGAAACAAAAAAAATCACATAGTACATTTAAAACAACAAAACAAAGAAAGATCTCTTGTGTGCATATCTTGGGGTTCTTTTCACTTAGTACCATCTTAGGTGGTCATATATACTTAGATTTTGAGCTTTTCTGCTCATCTGATAACATCCTAGACATATACTAATTATTTCAAATGAGGGAAACCATGGGACCTTTATTTCTTTGGGTGTGGCATAATTCATGTAATATGACTTTTTTCCCCAAGTCTTTCCATTTCCTAACAAATGGGACAGTATCATTCTTTCTGATGGAAGCAGAGAATTAAATTATATATATATATATATATATATATATATATATATATATATATATAAAACCTATGGTGAATAATGCTATGATAAACATAATTGTGCTGGTAGCTTTAGTGTTGCCTTGTTTGTGATCATTTGGGTAAATGCCCAGAAGTGGATTGCTGGATTGTACGGTATCTCTATGTGTAATCTTTTGAGGAACCTCCATAATTATTTTCAGAGTATTTGAACAAATTTACACTCAAGTAATTGTAACTCCTCTTTACAATAAAATAAAATTTAAAAAGAAGATTTTATGCAAAAATAATTAGATGAAACAATAAAGTATTTATACTATTATTTTATATGTTCATGTTTAACACTATATTTGAATACCAATATAGTATGTTGAATACTATATTCACTCACTGATAGAAAATGCATAATACTGTTATTGCAAATAATGCTTTTTAAGCCTATATTCTAATGTGCTCAAATGATTTTAACATCTGTATGAAGCACCTGGGATGTTTCATTTTTTATTTTGATATTTAAGATGTATTAAAATTATTCAATTTTATATTTAAGAATACTAATTTTGAAAGAATGTTTTAAAAATATGAACCAGATGCTGGTGCCTCATGCCAGTAATCCTGGCATTTAGGGGGATGAGATCTGAGGATCTCATTCAAAGCCAGCCATGCCAGGAAAGATGCTTATCACCAATTACACACGAAAACAGCCAGAAGTTAAGTTGTGGTTTACGCAGCAAAGCACTAGCTTTGAGCAAAAATGCTCAGGAGTGGCTCTGAGGACTGAAGTTAAAGCCACAGAACTGACACAAAAAACAAAAACCCAAAAAGAAAAAGAAAACATAATAAGTATCAAGATAATTAACACTGAATCATTAGGTTTGTTAATAAGGATCTTTTTCATTTATTAGTTACCAACTTTCTTATTTTACTTTAGTAAGAAGCTCAATAATTTTTTTTCTAAACAAAGCTAAGGATTTTGTAGCTTTCCACATAATTCTTGGTATCACTTTCATATCTCTATCATATACAATATTATAATTTTTTATTTAGAATGAACCAAGCAATTTAAATAGCCTTGTAGAGCTTTATTTATTTGTTTATTTATTATTTATTTATTTATTTTATTGTGAGAATACCGTACAGAGGAGTTAAATTACATGGGCAAGATAAAAAGTACATTTCTTATCAACCATTGTTGCCTAGTCATTGTGCCTTGTAGAGTTTTATTTTCTTCATTCTAAAGAGAAATTCAACTTAATTTGGACATTTTTGAACTCTGGAGACTGTTACTTTTGAAAAGAGGAAAACTTTTTGTGTTTATTTTTATTGTTTTAGTTGTTGCTTTAATAAGCTTGGTTTTGTAAAATAGTTATAGGAAGATAGGTTTAGCTTCTACTATTCTCATATGCAGAGAAAATCGATACAGGCATTGGCATTTGTGACCATTTCTTAAAAGAGTAAAACACCTCTTATTAAAATTCTAGTGTATTCATATGTGTGGCACAATACTCTGGGTCTTCTTGTTTGCTTCTGACAGTTTATAGATTAAAAACTCTGGAGCGGTATGTTTTAATTGTTCTGAAGTTTTAGCATAATGGATGCTCCACTGAATGACTGCAAAAAGTGTAATGAATTATAAAATTAAATGTACTGGATGTTTTAATGAATGTCCATTTCACAAGTTACAAGTTATTCAATGATCTGTCATGTTTTTACTATACAATTACAGACAAAAGAATAATTAACTGAATATAGCCTACTCACTGAAGTGATTTCTGTTTTAATTAAAGTGATACAACTAGTCTTCTTGTATCAAGATACATTTAAGGTATTTTATAATTTAATGTGTAGTATTGAACAAATTTAATTGTGTCAGTTAATTAAATGGTGGCATTATTCTCTGTAAGAAGATTAAATGACATGAAGTGTTTATATTTTTATTCTTTTTTCTGTAGGACCAAAGAATGAACTTTTCCTCTTTTATGGGAAAGGACGTCCTGGAATTGTTAGAGGAATGGACTTGAATACCAAAATTGCTGATGAGTACATGATCCCTATAGAAAATCTGGTAAACCCTCGAGCTTTAGATTTTCATGCAGAAACCAATTATATCTACTTTGCTGACACCACCAGTTTCCTAATTGGCCGGCAGAAGATAGATGGTACAGAGCGAGAAACCATTCTGAAAGATGGTAAGTGACACTGTGACATTAACATCAAATTGCTCAGAGCTAAAAGACTTTAAAAGGATAAATCTAATGGATGTCAGAGTAGCATTAAGTAGATCTCAAGTTTTCCTTGTTGATTTAGAAATGTTTCCGGATTGTGTTTGCTCAGTAGCATTATTTTCCTTGCTTTTCACATACCAATGTGTTAAAAAGTTTCATGTCACAATTGAATTTATAAATGTCCACTGCATTTTAAATACTATATGAATTAAAGTAAGCTAGTCTACCTCTTCTGGGAAAATGTGAATCCCAATGATACACTTAAAACAGTTAATGGCATGACAAAATTTAACAGACCTGTAGGACTTTATTCTCATTAGAATATTTATGTTACTCAAAGGACATTAAAAATGTCACTTTCCTCCTGTCACAATTTTTGAAATGATTGAAATAGAATTCTCTAGTCTGCCATTGAAACAGCTATGAATTATTCCTTTTTATATTTATCCATACATGTGTGAAGTTTGTGCAAATACTTTACTAAAATCAGTTTTTATATAAGATATTTGACTGGGAAACCCAAACAAATAACAAAAGAATATAGATTTGGAAAAAGTAAGTCTTTTCATAATCAAATCAAACGAAGCAGACGTTTGCTTAGCTGCCAGCAACATTAATGATTCTGATCCCTCTTCCTTTGTATGGGAGACTTAATTACTTTTGAGTGATTTAGAAATCCATGATTTTAAGACCATCAATTGTGTGCTTGTTAAATGAATTCTGTGATCTTAGCTATCATATGAGTAATGAATTTTAGAAAATGACTGCTGCTTTCAAGAAATTTTTACTTTGAAAAATGATATGAACATATGGAACATTTAAAGGCTTTCCAGTATAATAATAAATATTCCAAAGAAATAGTGACCTCCCAGATCATGCATATCAGTAATGGAAAGCTTTGTGTATAAAGGGAGGGGCTTGCATAAAATTCTGAAGAAAAATTCCAAGAAATGTTTTGGATCTACAGAGTTTGAATGAATGGATGAAGAAATATTGCTGTAATCTCTATCTAATGTGGAGTATGGAATGAAGCAGTCAGGATTAAAATAAAAACAAAATAAAATATAAACAAAGTAGACTAACATTATCACAGCATGAATTTCTATAAATGGCAGTATCTCCAGGTTCTATGAGAAAGTGGAACCTGAGAGGATTATACATTCATTATCTATTCAACTTGGCTATACTTTAAGTCAATCCTTTAAGATAAAAACGTCTGTTCTCCATGAGTGGCACATGAAGTCTTGAAACTAAATAAGAGCTACTCCAGTTTTTGTCTTTTTTTTTTTTTGGTGGGAGTGGGATGGGGAGTAGCTTACTGGTTAAGACAATACAAATCCACCATGATTTAACATTCTCAAGGAGGGTGTAATTAAAGTTAAGATTTTTGCTTCAAAATGGCTGTGGCAATCTCTCTGGCTTTAATTCTATGAAACATGATAGCAAAAGATAAGGATATGACAATTGCCAGATAATGGCTTTGTATGTTCTGGAGCAGTAGTCACAATTGGATTATTCTCATTTTAACCCAGACACTTTCAAGGAAAGCTAAAATATGTTATGCAAAGGTTTTGGTTTTCTTTAAAAAAGTATCCATTCCTGTGCTGTGACTGAATGTTTCAGCTAGTAATCATGTCTTTAATGACAGTATTTTTGTCAGTGAAAATGGTGGGTCTTTGAGTTCTACTTCAGTCACAGAGATCAATGCTAATAGCCATTTGGGCTGCTGTAGCGAGCATGAAGGTTAGGGGAACATTTTGCACATTTTCACTCAAATGTATTTAACCTTTTATTTCTTATACAAGAAACAGCTGTCTGTTGTTTTTAGTTTCTTTCTTACTTTCCATTAAGAATTATGATCTCTGCTAAAATAACATCTTTATATGAGGAACTCAAGAATTACATTAGTAAATGACAGCTCATGATTCTTGAAATCGGAAAAATTATATTCTGTGTTTTCATTTGTTTAGCAATAAGTGTCTATGATGTAACTTGAATAAAGAAAACATGGATCACTACTGAAAATTGTGTTTGTAGGTAATAATAACAGAGGAGATATGAAAGAGAATGCAGTAATGGAGGGCTATGAATAAGAAGGCAAAGGGTTGCATTAAATTCTGAAGCCATAAGGGACAAGAAAATATTTTGATCTATAGAATAATGTGAATGAAATGATACTATTGCAACTATTGGGTTTTCATATCACAATTTTTGAAATGATTGAAATAGAATTCTCTTGTCTGCCATTGAAACAGCTATGATTTATTCCTTTTTATATTTATCCATATGTGAAGTTTTGTGCAAATACTTTACTAAAATCAGTTTTTTATATATTTGACTTTGGGAAACCCAATCAAATAACAAAAGAATATAGATTTGGAAAAAGTAAGTCTTTTCATAATCAAATCAAATGAAGCAGACTTTTGCTTAGCTGCCAGCTACATTAATGATTCTGATCCCTCTTCCTTTGTATGGGAGACTTAGTTACTTCTTAAGTGATTTAGAAATCCATGATTTTAAGACCATCAATTGTGTGCAGCATGGGGTTATTTAGTAGCGATTCAACCAGATGAATGGAAGTCTTTTGTTTCTTAAGTCTTGTAATTTTGTAATATCACCTTACATTTTGTATTTAACATCCACTTATCAGGGAGACCATGTACTGTGTGTCTCTTTGCTTTTGGCTTACCTCACCCATTATGATTTCTTCTAGCTCCATCCATTTGCCTGCAAATGCCATTATTTTGTCCTTTCTAATGGATGCATAATATTCCATTGTGTATAGATACCACAATTTTTGGATCCATTCATCTGTGGTGAGACATCTGGGTTGTTCCCATATCCTGGCTATTGTGAACAGTGCTGCAATAAACATGGAGGTGCATGTGTCCTTGTATACTGGTTCCTGTTGTTCAGGACAGATGCCTAGAAGTGGTATGACTGGGTCATAAGAGAGGTCAATATTTAGCTTTCTGAGGACCCTCCAGACTGCTTTCCCAAGTGGTTGTATAAGTGTACATTCCCACCAGCAGTATAATAGGGTTCCTCTTTCTCTGCATCTCTTCCAGCATTTGTTGTTGGCTGACTTTAGGATGTGGGCCACAAAGTTAACTTTTGCTATAACTGTAACTTTGGCAATACCTTTTGTCCTTCTAATATGATTTATGAATTTTAGATGCTGCCATCTTATTTTTTGATGTTAAAGTCAGTGATGGCTGTAATCACTAACATACAATGAGTACTTTGTGGGCAGTGGGATTGTCTATTGTAAGTGTATTATGACATTTAATAACTCAACAACTCCCATATGCCAGGTTTATTATTTTTTTTCTATTTTACAGGACAGAAGTTATGACTTAGGAAGATAAATAACTTTATCAAAGTCATATATCTATTATGTAATATAGCATACAAAGAACTGTGAAATCAAGATGTTATTATGCTTTCCAACAAAACTGTTACTCTATTACACTTTTCATGGATGTTGGTGGGAGGTATGAATTATTTGAGACAAAATGTGATTTATTACTAAGATCAACAACAAAGCCAGAGTGTCAATAAATTTTTCAGGGTCCTGAGCTCCATTTCCCCAAAGAGCAACACAAACCTGACATCTGCACATTCAGTACACCATATAACAAGAGAGAAATAGGGAGGTTAGAGAACTCCATTTTTTTCTAATAGTAAGAATGCCTGTTCATGGCTCTAAAGGGACTTATTTTCTCTGTCTTCTGAGAGGTATAACTGATCTTTAGTTCATAGAGAGACAAAGTTTTTTTTTTCTGACTTCCAAGATTACATATTTTCTTAACATCTTTGAAAATACAATCTAAAATAGTTACTGTGTTTCTTTGCTTTCAGTATGGGAGAAATCCAGAAAACTTCTCCCTCAACCATGCTAGAATGCAAATACAGATGACCTAATTTTCATATCCTTTGGATGTCTGAATAACAGTTTCCAAAAGACATCTCAATTCTGAGCCCCAAAACTTGTGATAATTTCTTCATTTGGTAAAGAAGACTTGCAGATGTGATTAATTAAATGTTTTGAGATTGGGAGATCAGTTGACCTTTTTCTGGGATGGCTGTAATGTAATCAAAAGGAAAATTACAAGAGAAGAAAGAATGAAAAACAAATGAGAAAGTGGAAGTTACCACTTCCACTTCATTACAGGGGCTGTAATGAAGGTAGGAAAGAATTATGGGCTCAGTATTGCTTGCATCTGCCTCCTAGAGCCTGGAAAAAGCAAGGATGTGGATTCATCTTTAGAACTCTAGAAAAAGGATTTAGCACACATCTTTAATTTAGTAAAATGAGATGAATTTTACCCCCCCACATGTTCATTTGTGACAGCAACCACAGGAAACTGAAAAGCCTGTGCCTTCAGCCATTGTGTTGTACTCAACTCAGGTATTACTTATGGTGGAGTCTGCTTAAGTAGGGGAACAAGTAGACATTTCTCCATACTTCAGGGTCTTCTTTTAGCTGAGATACTTTTATGAACAGAGAAGTTATAAAGTAATGAATAGCTTGGGATAAGATGAAAGGTAAGCTGTCTTTTATGATACTCTGAGATAAACAATGTCATGCACAGAAAAGGTGTTTCTCCCTGATTTTCGTATTACCTCAATGCATGCTTCAACATAGCTGGTGACATGCAATCAAAGGGTCATATCATGTTTATGTGGCTTGCTGACAGTTCAGAATCTGAAAGGTGAACCTCTACTTTAGTACGTTTTTTTTGGTAAGTCTAGGGGCTTGAACTTTGGGCTTGGGCACTGTCCCTGCTCTCTTCAGCTCAAGGTGAGCACTCTACCACTTGAGCCACAGTGTTACTTCTGATTTTCTATGGTTTATTGGAGATAAAAGTCTCACAGACTTTCCTGCCCAGGCTGGCTTTGCACTGTTTTCCTCAGATCTCAGCCTCCTGAGTAGCTAGAATTACAGGCTTGAGCCACCAGCA